GAAAGAAGAAGGGAGCTTGAGGTTCCGTTTGAGGCACTTTATTGTCACCACTCAATTTCTGGGGCTGTAAACACAGTGGGTGTACATAGGTGTGTGTGTGTATGTGGCTTTTTGTCATTTACGCACACATAACATTCCCCAGGAATCAGTGCACCCCCTCCGGACCAACACTGCTCATCCGACATTAAACTGCCCACCTTACTAACCGGATGATGTCACTAGAAGGTGGGCTGGCCCAAACTGACAGAAGACTGAATATTAAATGAACTTATATAAACTTATAAACACCAATAAAACTATTCTATGAACTTTGGGGCCTTTTATACAACCTCTGCAGGTAATTGTGTCGCAGTTTCCTAGGGGATGGATGGATGGATATCCATCCATCCATTCGCTTCCGCTTATCCTTTTCAGGGTCGCGGGGGGGCTGGAGCCTATCCCAGCTGTCATAGGGCAGAGAGGCAGGGGTACACCCTGGACAGGTCGCCAGTCTGTCGCAGGGCCAACACACAGGGACAGACTAACCATTCGCACTCTACATTCATCGACATTCACACCTAGGGCAATTTGGATTATCCATAATTCAAACAGATTGTTTTATTATTCTAATATCGAACAATCGTTATTATATATATATATATATATATATATATATATATATATACAACAGGGATGAGACCGACTACAGAAGTGAGGTGAGACGCCTGGCCACGTGGTGTGTTGACAACAATCTCTCTCTGAATGTGGAGAAGACGAAGGAGATTGTTGTGGACTTCAGGAGAATGCACACCCAACATGCTCCTCTGACCATTGACGGAGCGTCTGTGGAGAGAGTGAGCAGCACCAAGTTCTTGGGTGTGCACATCACAGAGGATCTCTCCTGGACGTACAACACCACAGCACTGGCCAAGAAATCACAGCAGCGTCTCTTCTTTCTCCGCAAACTAAGAAGAGCAGGAGCACCAGCCCCCATCATGTACACTTTCTACAGAGGCACCATCGAGAGCATCCTGTCGAGCTGCATCACTGTGTGGTTTGGAGCCTGCAATGCGTCCTGTCATAGAACCCTCCAACGCATAGTGAGAGCTGCAGAGAGGATCATTGGTGTCTCTCTCCCCTCCCTCCAGGACATTTACAGCACCCGTCTCACTAAAAAAGCCCTTTGCATAGCGGCTGATCCCACGCACCCAATGCAAAGCTTCTTCAAGCTGCTGCCGTCAGGGAGGAGACTGCGGAGTCTCCAGGCCAGGACCAGCAGACTGAAGGACAGCTTCATCCATCAGGCTGTCAGGAAGCTTAACTCCCTCCCGATTCTGCCCCCTCTCCCCTCTTCTCCTCCATGGTCTCACTGAACTCTGTCACACACACACACACACACACACACACACACACACACACACACACACACTCTGACTCACTCACTGGCCTGCACCAGTTACCAGTCACTTTGTGGAGCATTGGACTGCCATTACCTCATAAGACTTTGTTGTTATACTATCTCTTACCGTACATTACTAAATCTCCATTTGCACTATTTGCCTATTTGCACTACTCTGCCTGGTTTACACTCAATGTCATTTACCCTTACCTGAATATTGTATATTGTATATTGTATAGCTTTCTTGTTAATTTGTATTGTATTTATTTAAATTTTTACTTTTTAATTATTTTATTTGCATTTTTTAATCACTCTCTTATATTTAAATGTTCATTGCTATTTCATCTAGGGTTTGAGAGTAACGAAATTTCTATTCTCTGTATGTCCTGTAAATGTGGCAGAATTGACAAATAAAGTTGACTTTGACTTTGACTTTGACTAAAGTTTTTTCTCAAAAAGCCGAATGATTCAGTAAATTAGAAAAGTAAATTAGTAAAATTCAGGTTTTGGGCCTTAGAATGAGATTATGGCTTTGGTACTTTAGAACAACTGTAGTGTCTGTTTTAAAGTTTACTGAACTGCTGTTTTATATTTGCAACACCTTCTTTTGTCCTCAAGAGGGAGACTTATACCACATGTTAGATCTCCCCCACAGCTCTTTCCTTTGGATAGATGATTTAAAAACCTCCCACCAGTGACTATCAACTAACTTTTCCCTCCACTGCTGCCTCTCTCGAGGACCAGTGTCCAGCATTGAGAAAACTAAATTAAACCATTTCCCTTTTTTTCACGCCAGTATTCATTCTGAAAGCAATGTTTTATTTATTTATATTTTCAAGACTAATGGCCATTTGGTATTGATTCAGCCATCCACTTTAAAAGCCAGTCCATTCATTTTCTATCTCCCTAAGAGGCATAACGACCAATGTTAGGCTCCCCTGAGTCCATTATTCATTTTTTTCCCTCACAGTAAGACATTTATTCATGCTAACGCAACAAGACAAATGCTAATATACCCACATATAAAGTGGTAACCGAAACTTGAGCAAGTAAGCTGGACTTGGAGGGAGCAGAGTCTGAGCTGATAGTGAGTTCTTGTCCTAAGCCTATTAGTACTGCTGGGGATACATGGTGGTAATGATTGAAAGCCACTTAGCGCTGGTGTATTTACCAAGAGGATCATCCAGGGCATGGTTAAACAGGCCTGATGAATTAATTCAGTTTAATGTACATTGACAAGGAAAGGAAAGGAAAGGAAAGGAAAGGAAAGGAAAGGAAAGGAAAGGAAAGGAAGTTTTTAAGTTGTCCTACTAATTCAGGCTCTCATTGCCTCAAGTCATTTCGAAACAAAACAGGGTGTGCCTCACACAAATGTAAGGCAAATCCAGAGGTCAAACACCCGTGCTTTCTTTCCTTGCACAGTTTACATGACAGCCTTTTTAGTTTAGTTTTGTCCATTTTTGATTTATTGCTTAAATGGATTATGAAGACCTCGTACCTGTATCCACACCATACGTTGCTACTTTTAACAAAGAACTCATGCAGTATTTCCTTTTAATGGAGTAAATGTACACCACAACACGTGGTGCTGGATCCCCCTCTAAAATAATGTGTGTCTAGAAACACTGCCACATGTTATGCAGACATAAAGATGCCATCTTTTCTACAGTGTAGCCCAGCCATGGTTGGAACATGTCTCACATGACACATGTAAAACATGTGTGGCCCAACAGTGTGTGAGGAGGCACACATGCAGGTAACTGACTTGTTTCTTGAACGGTGCAGTATGGTGAGTAATATTAACCTGTTAGACCACAGTACTGTGTTGCAAGCACTTGCGAGATTGCAGTATAAGTTGAATTCAATACAAAGCTGGGCAGGCAGCCAAGCAATGTCTGGTGCCTTGCCATCCATTTCCATGACAGACATAGAGGGCATTATGGATCACTGGCCAGTCATCTCATGTCTCAGGTACAACACACACATTTCAACTGGCAGTTTCTATGTCTATGATCACTATGCAGCTGACCATAAAACTTAAGGTAAAAAAAAGTACACTTAGATTACACAAGACATTTTCCTGAGAGTAAATGATTCAAATCAAAATAAAGGATTGGTTCTTTTCTCTTTCATGTGTAGGATGAGCTTGAATCACTATTTTTAGTTGCTTTGCAACCTCGGCAAACAACAGATTAACTGGAAAAAGAATTTCTCTGACACATTTTAGAAATGTAATGTTTTCATCTCAACAGCTGAAATATGCACAGCCCTAGCAGCCTCTCACATTAAAAACTGACATACTGTTTCCAGTCCAGCTGTCAGGTAGGAGCACCCAGATGTTGCTGCTGCAGTGGCGTTATGTAAGCCAATGTAAACCAGAGATTTCCCTCGCAGTCACATGGGCAGAAACACGGAGCTTCAGTCTCACACACACATGCAGACAGATAGCAGATTATCTGCAGGATTTGCAGAGTAAATCTGCTCTTTTAAAAAGTGACATTTCTGTTTTTACTGGATGCAGAGCAGAAACACAAAGCACACAATGGGGCTTGTGTCACTGGTTACTCTGTACGTGATAGATGACGAGGCCTTAAAGGCAAGACGTTGTGCACACAGTCACTCTCGCCTGCTGCTGACCTAAAGCAGTCTTAATCCCGGGTAAATGCATATCAGTGGCTTTTGGCTTAGTTTGTCTGTTTTTTGTTTTTTTGTAAGAATGCCATCATGAAAAGTCCAGCAGAAATCAGATAAACTGTGTGCTGTAGACATTAGACTCACTCTGGCCACTTAAGGAGCAAAGGTGAAGGTACTGGGGATGATGCAAAAGCATGCAAATACATGGGCGCCTTTCCTTTTGACAGCAGGCCAGAAACAGAGGAGAGGAAATGCTTGGGCAGCTGCAGCTGTTCTGGTCCAAATATAGCTGCTCGAACACATTGATTACACAGGATCATTATCACTTGCCATTTGCTCTTCTTCACTCTTCATCAATAGAAGTATCATGTTGGTGCTTTCGATCACGTACAAAGAGCACGGTGCAGTCCTGAAACTTACAGATACATAAATTCTCAAGCATTCCACGTTAGGTATCATTTTCTCTCTATACATTATCGACTGACTGGGATGCAGCCAAGTATGCAAGGAGGGAGGGGAAGTAATGGATGGACTAAGATGACCTCACTTTATGTGAGATGCCTTACAAGAGAAAATCTGGAACAACTGGTAGTTGGGCAGTTTTAGAAGAAAGAGATAAAGGATAAAAGATAAACCGACCAGTTTTTCCAGCTCATAGGTAGTTAGGTTTTACTTCAGGAGATGAGAAATAAACAGTCTATTAAGATATTTAAGATACACTAGAATAAAACAAATGCACCTAAACACAATTTCCAGCTCCAATTCATACATGATTCGCTAGCTGCCTAGTAAGCTACCTGGAGAACCTTGCACGATCCCTATTATACCATACATCTGCACTTTAATAGCACAGCTGAAATTCTTATATACACTATGAACTATGTAGAGTGAGGTCTATCCCGCACAGTATGGAAAATATCTATCCGACTACTGTATCTGTCAGTCTATCTAGCTATCATTTTTAAATGCAGACAGGCAGGGGGCGTGCAAAGGCCACCGGAGAGCAGCCAGAGCTGTATCTGCACAGGCTGAGGCTGCTGGCAGAGGAAAAGTGATCGTGGCAGAGGAGAGATGTAGCAGCGCTGCTCGGTGGGACTCTGTGGCCAGCCGTCTGTCACTTCTTTTAAAACCAGAAATTGTTTTTGTCGGACATTACCGTGAATGGGAAAGATTGAATGCATCTTATAGCACAGTGGCGCCGTGTGAATGTGTCGTGTAATGCACCGAGAAGGATTGCCTCTCGGGGGAAATATTTATGTTTCGGGACGGTTTTGTTGGAGTAGCTAGTTGCTAGCGCTGGGCTAGCGACTGTGCTGGCTACTTGGAACGTATTCTGCAAGGATGATTCGGTGGATACGACAGCAGCTGGTAAATGAAACCGCACGTTCCATCTTCTTCATACATACCGCTTTCCTCTTATTAGTTCGCCACAGCAGCTAGTCTCCTTACGTATTGTAAGGCTTAGCCCGCGGAAAGCAGAATAAACTTTATTTAGAGAGCAAGCTAACCTAGCCAATTGGCTGTTGCTGATGTGTTCAAAACATTCCATTTCCCCTTAGTGACAGTCAGGTGTAGGTTACGTTAGCTAACAATTACCTTATCTGCTAGCTGTCAGTAATAAAGAGTTTAGACCTCAACAAGGGACATTGGTTGAGTTCAAATTTGAGCTTGAGGTATAAGTTTGGTTCGAACTTTGATAGCATTTTAACAACTGTCGGGTGATTTCCGTTACTAAATGCACCTGAGAGTTAACTACCTTAACACTAGCTAGCTGGCTAACAACGTCAAACTTGGCAAAGTTATAAAGCGTCTCTGGCTTGCTTTTATCTAGTGTTAACGCACAACTTTCGCTTAGACTGAGCTCAGTTTCAAATGTTCTATTTAAATTTTGTTCAGGGGACTAATAAACTATCTTTAACTGAGCTAGTTAAGACGTAAGCCTCAACACTCGAGGGTAATAATTGACGTTAGCTTGTGTTATTTTAACTTTATTTCGGCCCACTTCTTTGTTCCCTGCTTTCGTTACATGATCTATATCTGTATGTATTATTTGAAATTGAACTGATTTGATTCGTCACACCGCATCCTGTTTCTGCTGTAATCACCTGTTGTTTGTCTGCAAACATGACGGTCGCATTGACGGGCGAAGGCATCAGTTAAACCACAATAGTGGCCCGTTTTGGTACAGTAGAAAGAACGAGTTCTGAATTATGGCTGAAGAAAGCTACAGTGTCACGGTGCTTGTGGCTGTAATCATGAAGGTCTGTGTGGTTATTTCACTGTGTTTAAGCAGAGTTGGGATAAGAAGCACATTCAGTGATCGGCAAATGAGAGTGGCATGACCAGTGGTGAAGAGCCATGTGAATGAATGAGTGATTGCATATTATGAGATTAGCCACACACAAACGGTTGATGTCACCATGTCTACTGAGTTTAATCAGTGTTGGGGGTGTTTTTGACCTCTCCCCGCTCACTGTGCACTCTCTGTAGTTAAGGTTAAGTTAAAGTGACACTTATTAAATTTTATGAGTCATGCTCAGCTTCAAGTTTGCCTGTTTAAAAAAAAAAAAAAATCATTTTTGCTTTTGGAGATTAAGAGCACCACAGAGAGTTAGGGGTCTATTTAGAAATGGTACATAGCCTCCTCCTAATTTAAGATAGCTCAGCTCATTTGACCCATCCCACCTAATTGACCTGGCTGCTTAATTAAAAGTGTAATTAAAATGCATCTTAATACAGCTGGCCTAATGAAAAAGTTTGTTGAGGGGCATTAGTCTGACCCAAATATCAGCTGGACGGTAGAATGGGGATGTTTGTTCACTCATACTATTTATCAGCTCTTTCTGGTGGAATGAAAAGGGAGAGGGGGAAGAGAGATGTGACAGGTTTTCATTGTCAGTCTTGGTTCAGTTACACTATAAAACAAACCAGAAATTAAAGCATGAGGAATGGTAGCAAAAAAGCAAAGTCTTTGACATACTAGTTTGCAAGCCTGGGAACTGGGTTTTCTAGATGTCTTTATGGAGACTTAGTCTGTATGTTATTACTGACAGATATTAAAAAGACTGGTATAAGTCTTCCTGAGGTTTTGTATATAGTTTAAGTGCACTATGAGAGAAGTATTTAATGAATTACCCTTGCTTTACCAAGTCACGTTAATCATGATATAATCATGAAAAATAGAGCAACTATCAAGAGCGCAAATGAGCAAAAGGAAAAAAAACATCTGTCTATACTACTCATCTGTAGTCCATTGAGCAAATGGGAGTTGCCTACATTTTTTTGAGTGTCATTCAGGCTCTTTCCTGGATATTGCTGCAGCAGCCCTTGTAATAATCCACTGACACGCAGCAATAAAACATCCTTATGTCACCCATGATAAAATATCATTCCTTACTCTCTAGCCCTGCTCTGACTACTCTGTTGCTGTGGGTTGTACAACAATATTTTTTTTTATAATATTTTATATTTGGTGATGTAGTCCATCAGTTTAGCTTATATGCAGTTTATTTTATTGTATTGCTGTTGTCATCAGTCTTATGTTTAAAACTAGTACCCACTGTACATGAGTACATACTGTTTATTGCCCCCCCC